TACATAAAATAGATATATTAGTTATGCATGTTAATATAATAGGACCATCTAATCAACATTGTAAAATCACTGAATCAGCGACTGATTTCACACGTTGATGTTAGAAAGATATTAATATTTAATATTTTTTTAAAACTTGACCAGTTCGACTGGAATATAACAGGATTTTCTTTATTGTTATTTATTAGTTATTATAGAGTTGTAGACTTGTTATTATTCTGTCTCGGCATTGGGCTGCTTTTTGAATTTTGACTTGTTGTTTTCCGAAACGCAAACGCTTCAAAAAAAACGTATCTAATCATCTAAACATTTTCTGATGAAACATACATGCATAATATGTGTTACAATAAGAATACTTGAACACAAGCGCATAGTAAACAAAAGATACATCTGTATCAAACTTAAACTAAAGATAGAAACAAACATCCTTAGTTATGTTTTCAAACAGAATATGATATGATTTAAGAGGTAATAAGCTACGATTTAAGGAACTTTAATACAAGCATCATCACGATTTATAAACATCATTACAATTTCTAACAATTTAATAACCCTGGAGATTCAGATCAAATCACATCTTCACCATTTTATCTTCAAATTGCCAATTTAGAGAGATTTTTTTTTATCTGTAAACGTTGGGATGAAATTTATGATCCATGTTAGAATAAGTAATGATGGTTGAAGGAACGTTTGATTAAGATAATATGAAAGAGAATCCTAATACTTAAGCATGATTCTTGACAGTTTATTGCCCAAATTGAGATCTTCCAGACCAATAAGTTGTTATTTATGATCATTATTTACATACTAAATGGATATTGACAAGAGGAGTATCAAAGTTTATTAAAATAGTTTCTTTCGTCTTCGCAGCACACAATAACCCACACCAAACATGATCTTGGGACATTCGAGGTTTTTAGATAACGGATGACATTGAACAATTTCCAAAAAAAGAGCAAAACCATTTTCCTGATTATATCTTACCAGTACTTACTGTACTTACAGTAAGTGTATAAATGTGCCACATCAGTAAGTCACTCGGACAGAACAATTAATATTTAGAATAAAAATCTGTACAGTACAGTATTAAGCCCAAAACATGTACAATAATATATAAGAGAAAAACAACCCAATAAAACAAGGTGTTACAAAGTGTCAATTAAAATCTAAAAATATTAATAGGGTTGTTTAGTACAATGAACAAGTAAATTTATTCAAGTGTAAAATTCTCTTGTTTCAAAAGTGTATAGTATTATTATTTGAAAAAACATTTAACATTGAGGACTGTATACTGAACTGAAATAAATAGCTTTCAACAAAGTGGTCGTAAAATATAGCGAATCATAAAATCAAAACAGAAAGGCGTGATCGTAAAATTGTTCTCCTATTCCCAAGCATTTAAGCATAGATCTATATATTGTGCTTCAATCAATACTTAAACAACAGATTTACATGGAAATGAAATGAAGCATTGCTATCTCCCTTTACAGATCACGGTGGAAGAATTTCAGAGACTCCATAGAATTGACTGTCAATAGCAGTAACCGTGACACCAGAATTTTCTTTAAAGGGAATTCGGTTTGACAGAAACTTATCGCCTATATCCTCTATCTTCCTTTATAATTCATGTTTTAACGATTTAAAACATTAAACAATGGCATCAGAATTATTTGCTAAAAAGGGAATTCAGTCAGGCACCAATTAATTGCCTGGTAGACGTCAGGGTTATGTATGTATTATACTGATTAATCTCTAGTGAAATATTCATGTTAATGACTACCAGTGGAATCAATGTTTTATCTTGATGAATAACATTACAGGGTGTGGATTGGCAATAATAAATATTTGATGTCTAAGATCTGGAAGAGAGTTCCTTTGGGAATGGAATCAAAGATAAGAACAAAATCACATAGAGTATTGACCCCCCCTGTCCTATTAACATGTATGTAATTGTTGATTTACTGACTTGTACTGGTCAGAGAGTTGTCGACAACTTTTAAATATTCTCATATCATATGGTAATGTTCGTTTCTTGTCCTAGCAATATTGATATATACCCTTTGTTGCAACCAGAAAAAGTAAGTTGTTTATCGAAAGGTTGATTCAGTGTTTGTTATCATGTTTGAGTAATGACAGTTTCACTCAAAATAATGTCCTAATTTATCGTTATAACGGAATTGAAGATCAATCTCATTTGTATATGAGAATATATTATATATTATGTTGGGTATATTGCATTATTATTCTTAATGAAATAATTCCAAAGCCTTTATTTAAAATTGGGGTTAAAACGGTTATTTCCGTTGATATACGTATATTGTTTTTGATATCGTATTGGCAAATCGAGCAATGATCACGCATGAGGAAAGCATTAAAAACAAGCATGAAGTTTCTATATAAAAAGCAGATATGATACATGCGAATAGGTGTAATTCTAGAATATGAATATGAATTCTTACCTTTTTCACTGTATGGTTTGATTAATCCTCAAAACACCGGTAATAAGAATCCAGAGCGAATTAAAATCAATACTCGAGTATAGAACAATGACTGTTAAAAACCTTACCGCGTTCAGTTCGACTGGTTTTTTATAAAGATTAAAACTCCGGAGCGGATACGAATATCAATTGCCTAACAAAATACACCAAAATACAAATATATTCAGATTTCAATTCACGACTTCTCATCAAAATGACACAAAAACGGACTTATTCAATACTTTGACATTTTTATCTGAATCACAATTATTAAGGCATATACAGGTATATGACGTGAACAGCGCGCGACAGCTGTTGAGTCGTCTGCTGGTAATAATCAATATTATCAACCAATCAGAATCCAGTTAACTAAATAATTAGTACAGGTTTTAATGTAAAGAGTATTCTGATTGGTTGATGTTCTCTCTCACCTGTCTTTGGTAAAGGATATGAAGATATCAAATTGTTGTTCAATAAACATGCTTGAAACTGTGACCGTTTTTTTATGAAATTTTAAATTATCACTATTAATAAGGAATAATCGGACAAAACGATCATCAATAAAATTAACCAGTGAATTATCGATATTTAGACTAACCATAGTAGATGTCAATTTGAAATAGCACCAAACCATGATGTTCAATTGAATACTCTTAGCAATCTAAAATGACATAAAACCAATGATCTTTAATCGATTTTGTGATTTCCAATCACCGATTAATCACTAGATCAATTTGTACCCAATTGTACAAATATTTTAACCTCTTTCATAGTAGGTCGTTAGCGGTGAATAATACAGTGGTTTAAAATGTTGTTTGACAATGTCTATTTCTGATTAAAAAATCAATCACTTCGTATCGATTACAGATTTAAAATCAATCACTAGATATCGATTCCTCATTACCTTGTGTTCGTTATCAAATGGTTCTTGAATAAATATCTGCGAATCTTTGAATAGGTCACTCTTCAATGCTAAAGAAATTATACTTCTCCTGTTCAACTCTTGTTTTCAGAACTTAAAACGGCACACACCCCTTTAATCCTCTCTAATCCAATTAATCCATAAAACTAATTAAAAAACCACCAAAGTAAGTAATTTTGAAACACGCTTAGAAGCGTTTTTCAATAATTACACGGTTTAATGGATTTATCGTCTTATATAGAGATTTTAATCTTTAGTCATAAAACCTATGAATATATACTCTTATTGACTTTGTTTAAGACTTCAAATTTGTTGTCCATTCTAAGAGGTAGAATTCCTAGAATTAACTTCCATACAATGATGATAAGATATGAAACGATGTTTTATTTGACCAGGTGAAGACATTACTCTGATAGGCCTGAGAGGTCAAACAAATTACTAATTTAATGAACTGATTGATTCATCACGAAACTTTGTTACTTTGTGTCACTTAATATTGTGAGAAAATAACCATTTCTATCTGGATATTTGATGTCTGGTTGAGTGAGAAGAAATTTCTTTTGATTATTTGGTTGATCCTAATATATGATTATTTTATGTTGTTCTAAATGTATAAAATGTCAAGATCTGGTTTCAGATTGAAATAAATCGAATGATCTATGATTGATTTTCATGGATATTTTTAGATAATTTTATTGAATACAACAGGCCATTATTTAGAGACTGATGAGAAATATATAAAGTACATTTCCAGCATTCGTTGCTCATTCCCACTTTATCCAGTTTCCAAACCAGCAGTCAAGATTTTATGTCTGAAACAGGATGTACTTAACCTTTCACATGTCATTGTCCACAACAGTTAAAGAACTTAACAGCCTTAGCGCCACCTACGCAACGTTTCGGATATCACATGAAACAGACTCAAACTCAAACGACATTTCCTTATGAATTTCCAACTCAAGGGAAATAACTAATGATAGAAGTTTTGAAATGTGGATACACTCTAGTGATTAGTCTTATGCTATCCGTGCTATTTCTAGAAATCCTCTTTCTCCCTCCCTTTTGGGGGTTTTGCATGCCTATTTTTGAATAATTTTTTTTAGGTTTGGAATTTGATGTCTGAAAATGCATTTTCTTTCAAATTTTGTGAGATGATGAGAGCTTATCATGCGCAAGGGTAATTCTAAAAAAAAGTCGTTTTGTGAGCATTGACGGTCAAGCGGATGTTGATAAAATGTAGTCTACTTTCAATTTGACTAGTTCAAAATTTTCATGGTCATCATATATTTTTTGAGGAGTCAAAAGGTATTAGTCAGACTTTCATTAGACATATTGGAAAATTTTCAAAGAGATTTCTGGCAAAAAGTTATAGAAGGTCGAATTTCGTGATTTAACATGGAAACAAATGTCAAATGAATTACCGGAGTATGTTTATGAACAAGTTTAATAATAATATTCAATGTTATTAAGCGTCTTTTGTTGCTATGTTTCTTAAAGTAAACTTGAAATCATGTCAGACAAATTTATGATATTATGAAGTTTCACTCTTTCTCAACATCTGAGACGTGTCACACCATCGCATCCCTTAGACAACAATATGTACATAGGTAATATTATTTAAGAAAATAATTTAATATAGAGTATAAACAATACAATAAACTGTTACAAGATGAGGTTGTGTAGCAGGACGGAATAGCATAGAGTAATTATGAAATGAAGGGAACAAAGTCTCATAAAAACAAAATCCGAAAGGAGTAGCCAAAAAGATCAAACATAACCTGCAAAAATTTAACTAAACGTTATAACATACTCAGGCAATAACAGATTGCAGTTATAATTTTTTAATGTGGAATCCTTGGATAATCGCGTATTTTTTTTTAACTTGAACTTTCCTGCAGATAATAAAATAATCTTTGTAAACAAATGTCATAATACAATGTTGCTGAAGTTAGACATAGGTACCAATATGTACAGTTATCACTGAAAATATCCAAAATTCAGACGTACAAGATCCCTTAACTGTTTCACCATCAAAAGGCTCTGTACAGTGTACAATTAACGTTTTTGTGGGAATGCACCAAAGAGTTCCAAAATTCCATCTTGTATGATTGTCTTTAAGGAATTTCCTGCATCACCGAAGTGCTACTTATCCCATTACTGGCATTACTCTCTGTAGCGTCCACGGTCAATCCGGGTCTTTTAGGCGTAACAGTGACGTAATATTTCGAACCATTTCTTGCAAGACCTTGGGAATGATTTTTTTTACGTTTGGTCATCAGAACACAAATTGTCACTGACGTAGCAATGTTTAATAAAACTAGAAACCCGACAACGAAAACTACAATGTCCGGAGCAGTTATTTGATCTTCTTCTGGAGGAGGAGGCGTTGTAGTTGGTTCCTCGGTAGTCTCGATTGTTAAAACAACTGCTGCCGTACTGGATAATTGTTCATCTGTCTTGGTCTCCCTGGCTATAACCTACCAGAACATAGAAAGATAGATGATTTCAACATGGTAGATAACAATGAAAGATAAATGAACGGCATTTAGAAATGTGTACAAATCAGAAACACAAGACAATAAGTGGGCTTATTGCATAATATTCTCTCGTCTTTGTGAAACGATAGTGCATCACGACAAAAGAAAAAACACCCCACTTCAGCGTTGGTTTGATTTAATTCGTACTAAATCTGAAGGAGATTTGATTTAAAATTTGATTAAAATCGGTAACAATACTATAGCCTTTACGAGGAAATGTAAACGGACCGACGGGTAGACATTGTTTTGACAATATACGTCCATCTAGAAATATATGGGTATATACAAATAATATTATCCATGATTCAAACACTATCCATAATCAAAATTACTTATATTAATATTTGATTGATTTATACTAATTGCTTGTTTTCTTTTTATTCAAGTGATATAACCAACGTCCTGATTTCGCAAGCATAAAAAAAATCAAACGAACTTACGGTAAAACTTAGATGTTGTCCACTGTATTCTTTCAATATGGAACTATTTGTAATTCTGATTAAAACAAATGCTTCAAAATAAACTTCCAGTGGGCTAGGTTCAAGAGCTGGAAACGATTCGCCATCTCGTTCCACTGATAGTTCAAAATACGCATTTGATCCCTAAAACAATGGAAAGTAACTTGTAAGAATAATTTTGCATTCACGTTTTCTAGATTGCGACATTGTAATGCTAAACAAAGAAATTCAGTAAAATATATCAAATAGACAGTTAGCTCTGCTGACTCCCCAAAAAGAGTACATGTACTTCTTTCAGCAGAAATGAAATTCAATAAATAAAAACAGAAATGACGTTAAAACAAATTTTGTCCACCAGCAGTTATATATTTTTGTTCATATAATATATATTTAGTGGATTATAATGAATTATAACGTTCATATCAAATACAGTATTCACCTGATCAGCATCGAACACATTCATGTATCCCTTGCCATCGAAATATATCAGTGAATCAGGTGGCGTATCATCTCTCACGTAAGCCGTATATGGTGTTGACGTATTAAATATTGGTGCATTATCATTTAGATCTTCAATAGTTATCGTCACAGTGACGTGACTAGTAGAATTTTCACCCACTGTTGCATTTAGTTCGAAAGCCTGAAATTCAAAATACTGTTAATAGATTTTCACCTTTACTATGAAGTGTGCTGTACAATTTCGAAATTTATTTATATATTTTGCTAAGTAGCATTTATAGACTAGAAATTGATAGTCCTTTCGATTGACACATACCTGCACAGTGAGATCAAAGACACCGTTTATCTCTCTCATCATAGCATCATCTCTATCTAATGAAACAGTCTGGATAATCCAACCTGTAGTCTCATCTATCGCGAAATATTCTTTATTACCTGGAAAGTGAAGATCGATAGAATACATGCATATTATACAAGTTAACAGAATCGTTGGTCCAAACGGAGACTTGGTGAAGGGAGATAATCCCCTTTGATGCACAAAAAGGCAAAGGATTCATCGTAAAGGAATGCACACAAAGAAAAAGACTGGTGATTACTGATGAGAACCACATGACTATCATATCGTAACTAGTGTAATATGATAATATGATGAACTAATAACCTTTAATGATTCTATAACCAACATCTCTAGGCACACCTTTATCACCGTCCTCAGCTTGGATTTGAATTACTGACGTATTCTGTAATATACGATGAAGTCGATTAAGTGACATGGGTTGTTACATTTGAGTTCTGTTTCTTGTACAATCCCCAATGACACAGCATAAAAATGCACATATCATTTCTTCAGTATGGTCATATTTAACGAGACATTGGAATGTGGAGATCAAACAGATATATGATTGGTGGAGCAACAGGAACCCTTCAAGGTTTTTGCTCAACAATCATGGCATATCAAAATCTTGTGACATACCACAAAAACAAGTATCTAAATTTAAAGATACGTCAAAAGGAACCACTGTGTTGGCTGCTGTTGGTATTTGTAAGTCACTCATCTATGTCCATAGTCCTGGGATCTGTAGTCTTTACTAGCCTTAACCGATATAATTTAGAATAAGTTTGATATTTACCACTGGTGAATGCTCTACAATTGCGGCTCTATAAATAGGCTGTATGAAATATGGCGGGGAATCCTGGATGTCTTCAACAGATATGGTTATTTCAGCAGAACTAGACAGTCCACCATTATCCTGAAAACACCACGTGAATTGTAACTGTGCCATAAAGAGTTATTTCCCATAAACCTCAATTTAAGTTTCAGATTTTACCTTTATTAGGTAGTTTTTAGTGTGTTTTTCTTATCTAAGAGAAGGACATGTTATAATTTTAGGCTAAATATCTAGAAAGTTGTTACTCGTACGTTGCTAGGCTCGAGAAAAACTTTAACATCACTTCATTACTCATCCTTGAAAGTATCGTGTCCTTATTGTAGACATATGTTATATTGGACTTGGGACCTGGGACTTAAAAAGAAACTTAAAGAATATTTACCACTGCTGAAATCATCACGGTGTAGAAATTTCTTTCTTCATAATCTAACAAGGATTTCAGTTTAATCATGGCTGTCGAAGTTCCCGGAAAACCTGCTGTCCATGAAAAATCAAACTTGTCATCGTTTATCTGGTCTGACACCTACAATAATATCATTCAGAATCACTGAACAATTCTAGTTTATGGTAACAACGTATCTGTGAATGGAACCAATTGTACAACCAATTGAAACATAACTTTAAATCTAAAGTAGTTAGTATATTCGCTTAATGTTTGATAGACAACATCTTATGCTTACCATTGATAAAGTAAAGATACCACCTTGATTAGTATCAGGATCGTAAACTGAAATGTTTCCAAAAATAACGCTTCCAGTTTTTATATCCTATAATAAATAAGAAAAACTACAGGTTAAAAACAATGCTAAGATTGTCCTGTACTGCCATATACCCTGTCATATTTGTATATTTTCAGTATGTACATGTACATGTAGACTATTCTGATTTACGTTTGAGCTTTTCATCCTTAAACAGTTTTTATCTTTCTCTGTTTTCTCAGAACGTAAAAATATTCATTTAGAACATTCGTTTTGAATCCATTCTGTCCTTTACTGTCTCTGTATGGAGTTCAGAGATGCTATCATGGTGGTTGCTGTGCACTTGGCCGATGTGATGAGTTTTCCAACTTGCATACAGACAGTATAGAATGTAGATAATAATTACAATCAATTCATGTACGAGGATGAAAGCAGTTGATTTCCACATTTCCAGATAAAGATCAGATACAGATTCAGGACATTTTGGAAACAATATTTTATACAATATCGCAATTCAGACAAATAAACGAACAGAAGATGTTTATTTTGGGAGCTTTATAAGAATGGTGTCTCCCGGCAAAAATCTACGCCGTGTAAATATTGTGGGGATAGGATTGTGTTTTAGATTGGACAAATAGTTGGTATTCTTACCTCCATGACGCTGCTAATGTAAGGAAGATTTTGGAATATTGGAGGATTATCATTGACATCTCTTACAATCAGCTCACATGATAGGGACGCCTGAAATACACCAAAAGGTATTATAAATTGACATCTTATAATAATTTCTAGGTGCCGTTAATGTTGAAATTATAACTATTATTTACCTATATATTTAGTTACCGACGTATGTACGTATTATTAAATCAGCGGCAAAGTAACTCTAATCATAATCAGAAAAGAAACGGGGGAAAAAAAGATCGAGATGACATCAATGTTGACTTTAGATTATGTAGATCTTTCAACAAATGGATTAAACGTATATTAATTTATAACGTTGTTATAGTCTATAATCGAATATAAAAGGATATAATTTATACTTACTGATATTAAATTCTGATCTTGAACTTTAAATCTCAGTTTTTTAATTTGAGGTGTCTGTAAACAGAATCAGACGTGAATTAGACAATCATGGCATAGTGTAAGTACTGAACGATACCATTCAACATAATATAGTGATCATAAGAGATAAAATGAAAGAATGCGACATTCAATGTTATGCCAAAAATCTTCTCAGGCTATCGATGAAAAAAAGGTAACACTCCCCATCTCTGAACCACACCCACATAAGCTCGAAGAACAAAGAAATTTGTTAGGAATGCGTTATTAATTGTGAATGCTATGAAGCATGTTCAACACTTACAAAATCTCTATCAAGATCAGACATTAACAGCACCCCTACGGTTTGTTCTTGAGTGCCTGTAGACCACGATGCTGACAAATTCACCAGGCTATCAGTTAGGATGTTATCTGTGGAGAATATTAACATATCTCCATCATTGCTTGCTATCGCCGTCAGATTTATTAGCCTGGTTCCTGAAAAATATCGATCAATATACATTACTCGAAACAGTAATTCACATAGATCACACATGAAAAATTGATTATGATATATGTTAAAATGTATTGTTAGAATTAGTCATTAGTCATAGTCCTATGTGTACATGTTTGTGTTCGGGACGTTGTTCCTGAAAAGCAACAGAATCTACATTCGTTTTGCGGTTCGGGTCGTTAGTATTTGTTTTTTCTATTCATCTCAAATTCTTTATAAGTATAATTTTAAAGAACATTGTTGGCGTATTGGTGAAATGACGTTGATAGTCATAGAGTATTTAGAGGGTGAACAGTTTTTGGACTAAGACATAAACTCACCAATTTCTGTGTCTTCTGCAAAGTACATAGAGCAGTCTTCATTACTCCAACTCAAACTAGACACTAAAGCAACATTTATACAGACTGGAAAATGAAATAGGTAAAATAGACATTGTCACTTCCTTCCTCTGAAAAGACGCAACCATGCATTGAAATCGAATGGTAAGGTCTAAAAGCCAACCAACAACGAGAGCGAGATGTGGTTTGCAGTACATCCTTGTACATCCTTGTTTTTTACTTTAAAATATTTGGAAAACTTGCAGCAAATATAAGTATATCATAAATCCTTTAGGAAACCAAACCAATATCTTTGATATATCGATCTATACATATTTTTCTGTTATCAGTTAACTCATATTCATTGTTAAATCAAACATTCCAAACGGACCGAAGTAGATATAAAACCTTTGTTTACAGTGGCGGAGCCAGGTTTACGTTCGAGAGGGGGCGAGATATCTGAGATTACCCGAATTTTTTACCCAGTTATGAGATTTTTGACCCAAAAAATTGATTTGGCTACGCCACTTTTTGTTTACTATTCATTAAAACAATCATTAATATGAAGAAGATATTAAAACTCTCGGAAAATCGGGAGGAGAAATAAGATATGAAGGAAGCATCAATGAAAGCAAGAAGAGGGGGTGAGGGATTGGGGGTTACAGGGTGGAATTAAGGTATGTTTAGATATCCACAGATGATTGAAACGAATGTGAAACAGCCAAGAATTAAAGTAAGAGTATGGTTTTTAGCAAGGTTTTGGTTTCATTAGAAAATTAAAGCAAGAGCGGCATGTATGTATCAATCAAGAATGGAAGTGAATAGGGTTCGGATATCAACAAAGAAATGAAGCAAGAGTTGGGTTTGGTATCAGTCACCAATGAAAATGTGGTTTATAGTGGAGTTTAATATCCAAAGAGAATTGATGTCAGAAAGAGATTTGCAGTAGGGTTTTGGTCAACATCGAGAGTTTGAAGTAGGGTTTGGATATTAACAATGAATTATATCGAGAGTTTGCAGTAGGCTTTGCGTCAACAATAAAATGTATCGAGAGTTTGGTTTGAAGTAGGTTTTGATATCCACACATAATTGAGGCGAAAGTATGGATTTTGGTGCCAGTAATGGAAGCGAGAGTGATGTTTGTAGTTAGGTTTAGTATCCACAGAGAATTGATGCGAGAAGGGTTATGGTATCAGCCAGCAATGGAAGCAAGAGTGAGGGGTGGGGTTTAGTATCCACAGACAATTGATGCGAGAAGGGTTATGGTATCAGCCAGCAATGGAAGCAAGAGTGAGGGGTGGAATTTGGTATCCACAGACAATTGAAGCGAGAAGGGTTATGGTATCAGCCAGCAATGGCAGCGAGAATGAGGGGTGGGGTTTAGTATCCACAGACAATTGATGCGAGAAGGGTTATGGTATCAGCCAGCAATGGAAGCGAGAGTGAGGGGTGGAATTTGGTATCCACAGACAATTGAAGCGAGAAGGGTTATGGTATCGGCCAGCAATGGCAGCGAGAATGAGGGGTGGGGTTTAGTATCCACAGACAATTGATGCGAGAAGGGTTATGGTATCAGCCAGCAATGGAAGCAAGAGTGAGGGGTGGAATTTGGTATCCACGGACAATTGATGCGAGAAGAGTTATGGTATCAGCCAGCAATGGAAGCGAGAATGAGGGGTGGGGTTTAGTATCCGCAGACAATTGAAGCGAGAAGAGTTATGGTATCAGCCAGCAATGGAAGCGAGAATGAGGGGTGGAATTTGGTATCCACAGACAATTGAAGCGAGAAGGGTTATGGTATCAGCCAGCAATGGAAGCGAGAATGAGGGGTGGGGTTTAGTATCCGCAGACAATTGAAGCGAGAAGAGTTATGGTATCAGCCAGCAATGGCAGCGAGAATGAGGGGTGGGGTTTAGTATCCGCAGACAATTGAAGCGAGAAGAGTTATGGTATCAGCCAGCTATGGAAGCGAGAGTTGGTTTTAAAGTATGCTAAGCATATCAACATGTTGAGACAATTTAGTTACTATAAGTTAAATCATACCTGAGACAGAAAAGAAAATGAAAGTCCAGGGTTTAGTTTTCACCATGGTGTAGTAAATAGATATTTATATCCGGACACTTGTTATAACTTGTATAAAATCAAATCTTCTTATCTTAAACTCTTACTTCAGTTAGGGTAGGGTCGGTAATAACTTAAAGAGACGATAGTTAGGAATATAATCTGACTAGATAAGGGCTTCTTTCTCCAATAATAATCAATAACCAATTTGATAACATAAATTATGTTTAAGGAAGAGGGATGTTTCAATTTCCCTTTCAATATGGTAAGATTCCCAATTACTTAAGCTCGAGTTTATCCATTATAAATAATGTAATACGTTAATACGCTCCAGTCTTCAAGGAGGGATTTTTCAGTTTTCAGATTCTTGTGTTGTGTCTCTTTAAATCCGGGTAGGTAAAACGTTATAGGTGGTAAAGGTATATTAATATAGAATCACACCTGAGAGTAGATTGACTAATATCTTACTGACACCTGCAATTAATAATGAAATTTTATTAGAAAATCGCTTTTAACACCACTTGTTTTTTCTTGTTGCTTACAACAAGCAAGCAGAACAATTGTGCCGTTGAATTTCCTGCTATTTACATTAGAACGCAGAAAAAACAGGACGTAACATTCCGTGTGATATCAGTGATTATACTGCATCTTTTGTGCACATGAATTCATTTTTGTGAATTCAGGTCTAGTATAAAAGTTTACATTGGCCCACCTCATTAAATCAAAACACTGTATTTGAGTATGGACGAGCTTATATATCTACACCTGAACACCGACAACTACTGCCCAGCATGCATCTGTTATTTAGTTAACATATCGTTTCACTGTCTTAATGATAATAATATTTCTCAACAAAACAATTTTATTAGAAAAAAATTATATTTAAATAAATTCAACAAAGGCCTACCTTCATACACAGTAGGCTACATATTGAATACCACAGATACAGGAAAAAAGAGACGTGAAAATTTCTCGAAACAATCCCAACCTACTCGAACATACCCAAGGAAACAATTTTCCCCATAAGTAAAAGTTTTATATCTTAATCAAATATAGAAATTTGACATTCGGTGACTGACTGATAGTCGGGACTTGGTTAATCCGAGTATCTGGTTCTAAAAGTGTATGGTTTATATGGAATAGAACGAAATCCGTGGCGTTTCTATTATAGGAAAATCACTAGGTACGAGAAGTATAGGTGCCATAGAATTTTCACGATACCCGAATTGAATGGTGTTGAGCAGATAGGGTTTTGACTGCTAATTAATGGACAATAAATGTTTTGAAAGTTTTCTGCCTAAAACATCATAATACCTAATATAAATTTTACAATTGTAAAGTATAATCAGCAATAGCATTTTTTCTATGTTTTTTATACACCACATTTATTTGTGTGGAGAGTTTCGGACTGTATGTAGATTAATCCTAAGACTGTTAAAGTTTAATATATATAACCGTCAATAAGTAAACATAAGCAAACTTATCTTTAGCCTCGATTACAAAGTCTGTAATTGTGAATACCTTTTATAAGACCAGAAAGGCTTGATAATTTGACTAAAATCGTAAATTTTCTTTTGAACCCTGTTAACCCTTGACCCAATTAGAAATATAGGTAGGTTAATTAATGATACATTTTGTGTCTCTTGAATTTTAATATTTGATATCAACATTTGACCACAACAGAAGACAAGGCGGAAAAATAATTCGGGAGCGACATAGTGCGCTATAAGATCAATTGTCGATAGATACTGATGCTCCTTAAAGCATTTCATTTTAATACTTGAACATTGATGTAGCTATTTCTTTGATCCAACTTACCCCGGTTAGGAGTTTTGGCTTGAGCCCACTGCGTTTGAACTGAATTATATAATTATTTCATTCAAGTTAAATTAGACAAATTTACTGCAAGAAAATTACCTTGATTAACAAATGCTTCAAATTTCAGAACTGTTTGTCTTAGAAAGTTAAAGTGATCTAACCTTGTGATACCTCGCCACAATCTAAAAAGCCATAATTAATTTATATTAGAGAAGCAATCAATAAACCTTTTGCTGCCGGACGCTGTAGTTTCTGTTAAGAAGCATGACTTTCTATAACTTTATACCGACTCGCATACACCCTTTTCCAAACCTCTTGCCATTTCGCTTTTAAATCAAAACTCAAGCATTTGATGGAGTTGTCTACCTTTAACAGGTATATTATTTCCCGCTCTGAAGTGGCTTTTTATACGCCCACATGGAAATGTGGACGTATATTGCCGTCTCCCCTGTCTGTCCGTCCGTCCGTTCGTCAGTACGTCCGTCCGTCCGTCCGTCCGTCCGCATTTGTTGTACGCTCGAGGTTACACCTTTTATCTGATCTTGATGAACCTTGGTTTGCATGTATATATTGATATCGAAATTGGTAATAATAGGATGAACGGTTTCAGAGGTATTGCCCTTGACTAAGTAAAAACGTGTTAAATTTGGCTTGTATGCATGATATTGGCTGCTATTTTTATCTGAAACTTGGTATGCTTGTATATATTGCTGAGATCTTGGTCAAGTTCGAAATTGGTAATAATCGGATGAAAAGTGTCAGAGTTATTGCCCTTGACTTACTAAACACGTTAAATTTGGCTTGTATGCATGCGAAAGGCTAAAAAAATTATCCGATCTTGTAGATATTGATAAGACCTCAGTCAAGTTCGAAATCGGTAATAATCGAATGAACGGTTTCAGAGTTATTGCCTTTGACTTAGTAAATATGCGTTAAATTTGCTTTGTATGCCCGATGAAGGCTACAAATTTGATCCTATCTTGATGAAACTTAGTATGCATGTATATTATTATGATATTTCGGTCAAGATCGAAACTGGTAATAATTGGATTAACGATTTCAATGTTATTGCCCTTGACTTGGTAAAAACACGTTAAATTTGCCTTGTAGGCACTCTAGAGACAACAGTTTTTATCCGATCTTGATGAAACATGAAAATATATTGATGAGATCTCGGTCAAGTTTGAATTTGGTCTTAATCGGTGGTGTGAGCATTGAGATTGATAAGATGGCGTTCAAGTTCCAAATGGACGATTTTTCGATGAACTGTTTTTTAGTTATTGCCCTTGACTAAGTAAAATCATTTGGTTGTGGGCACAATAGAAGCTTTGATTTTCAATGGATTTTGATTAAACTTAGTGTGAGCATTGGGATTGATAAGATGGCGGTCAAATTCAGATTTGACAATTTTTCGATGGACGGTTTTACTGCCTTTGGTTTAGTAAAAACGCTTCAAATTTGGCTTGAAGTCATAATACAGCGTGCATTTTTTGATCTCGATGAAACTTGGTATGCATGTATATATTGATGAGATCTGAAGTTCAAATTGCCCGTGAATTAGTTCAATGCGTCTAATTTGGCTTGTAGGCCTGATGGAGACTACATTTTTTTATCCGATGAGATCACATATTAAACCACTACAGACTTTGTTATCATTTCTGACCGCTGGTAGTGAGCGTATGTTACCTTGCCTGGCAAGCTATCTTCTAGGTTGATGTCAGCCGATCTGCAGATAATAATACCAACTATTCTAATGAAAACCTTTCCATGATGAATATGGAACTGAACAGCTGTGTCTACTACTACTGGAGCATACTTGCCTCATCTAACAACTGATAATACTAAGTATGCTTGTCAACTTTTAGTGAGTAGCTTTGCGTCTAGAAGGGCCAGTAGTTGCGAAATGCATTCGTAGGCCTACTGAGGAAATACTCACTACCACACTGCCAGATAAGGGTCAACTTAAATAAAGCAGATATCAAGTCAACTTTGGTTTCGTGTTTTCAATAAAACTAGGGTAACGAATCGGCATTTTCTGGTGAAACATCGTGGTCAAATATTTATGTATCACTCCCAATTACCGTGTAATTGTGGGCACGGGGGTTAGAATATAGATATAATCAACATATCCAACAAGCCTCAACAACTGTCTCTCGTGACAGTGAAATTTGAACGGACGGACAGTCGACATTTTGACAATATAAAGGCAATGACGAGGTTTATAAGATTTTATTATGGATTTCTACTAATAAAATAGTATACTCAATGACAACATAACGATAATATTTTATACGTCATAAAAATCTTACTGACTCTTAATAAGAGTATATAATATAATATTAGGTTATAGTTTCAGAATATAACTTTACTGGTTAGCAAAATGCAACAGGTTACAGCAACATAATTTTTGAAAGAAAGTCGAAAAACTGTACATCAAATCAGTTCTGTAAATAAATAAATGTAAAACTGTTTTATCTCAATAATGTGCTCGAAAGAAGGCCAGAAATACGTAATCCGTTCGACATATAGCAAACAATCGGCCTGAATATTTATTTCCATAAGAGTGCTTTGACTGTTCAGACAGTATTGGTCAAGATTTGACCAGTATACAAGAAGCATACCCTAGAAGGGCACTGTCCTAATTATAAGCTAACAATATAAAAAGAGAGAGGAACTGGTGTTCGAAAGATGATTATTATATCTATAAACCAGACTTCTTGAAGCAAAAGGCCCTGGGCTTACAGTGGTTCAAACTAAATAAACTTTAATCTTGCCCTATAGCAAGCCAGACGTGCATCTAGCTGAGACTTTCAATATATGCGCCCTACAGTAGCAAAAATTAGCCACCGTTAATCACACTGACAAATAAACGTATTCCGTATAAATGTAAAGATATACACGATTTCACTAGTAAAGTGGTATTTTGTTGACATAATGTGACATAAAAATCGAGAATATCAATTCCTAACATGGTAATACGGATGTCTCTCAAAAATGGTATATAAATAAGAAAATCTAACCCGAAACCATCACTACAACGAGAACGACGACCTTCATTTGGTCAGAAATATGATATAAGATTGAAACAAATGTAAAATAATTTTAAGCTTCAGAAGTGTCTCTACTCGTTGATTCTGTTCTGTCACAGTTTTCAAATGCATAAAAGTACAATGAGATAATAGAGACTATGGTGAACTTATCCCATTCCCACCACCTCCTTTAAATTAATGACGTCGACCATAAAACATTAAAATATATGATTAAATATAATTACATAATACATTAAAACTTCGTTCTATCCACAGTTTGGCTTCTCAGGCATAAATTAGCTTTGTTTTCATGTCGGAGAATGCTATGGAAATGTATTACTAGAATGGCAAATACTACAATGAGGATAGCTAAATGACTATTATAGATTGTCGCAAATAGACCCATATCTACCCTGTTATAAAGCCAAACTGTGACAGCGAGGGTTGCATGTTTATATACAATTGAACCGGTTTCAGTGATAGTCTCAACATAGCACAACGTTATCCTCTGATATTCGCTTGTTTATCCAGAGGTACTTTCGATCATCCGTTCTGTGATGACGTATGTTTGATCTGTGACAAAAAGTTGAATACATTGAGTTGATTGGACAATATCGATGACGTCATTGGATGTCATATCATCTTCATATGGACACACGACTTCACTGTCTTCTTCGCTTCGTATGTTAATCATCCATCTGAAAATATGAAAAAAAATCTAATAAGCATATAAGAAGAACTAATTTCTCTCTTCAGTGAATCATTCTGGGTACTGTAAACTTGCATAACGAGAGCATTAAGGCCAGGAACACCCATAGGCAGAAAGTAACATACAGATGAGGCCCTATCCCAATGCAGGTTCAGTGAAGTTCTCATGCGAATGAAATTTATGTCCAACTAACTTATGTCCAACTTTTTAATCACTCAGCATACACTTCGAAAAAAACACTCCTGGCCTCATAGGCCACCATACACTTCCGTTCAACAAGTTATTGAATATTATAAATATTCCAGAAGATGAAAATCAAAAAAAAAACTTTTCTTTAATTGTTGAGTGACTTATACAGTCACCTTGCTGAGTCGTCGTTTCAAATTCTATACAGTGCAGATTGGAAGGACTGAGACGAGCAGAAACGACCACAGTTTCACTGAGCAAACTGATCTTTTTAAACCATCCTTTCCATAAAGTATATACTTATATTTTGGCGTATAAAGTTGACGAAACCTAGCCCAACGAGTTTTATTTGGCTTAAGCTCCTCGTCAATACCTGATTGACTGACTAAATATCTAATATCCAAATATTAGTTTGTGATTTTGTCTGTGTTTTCAAAGAAAATTTATACTTGTTGCCTTGTAAACTTAATAAACTTAAAATTTGTTCGGTAACTGGCTGGTGTCTGAAAACTTGGCACAACTCTTGTAATATTTTATTCTACTTGTGAATTTTTCTTTTTTTAACTGAATTTTCTGGCAAATAAACTTATCAAACCGAGATAAAATTTTACATTTTTTATCGAATGGTTTCATGGAAATCTCGGGTGAAAAAAAAGTGTTTGACTAATTCGTGAAGCAGATAAGCAAGATGCTGAAATTTGATTTTTAGAAAAAAGTTTGATATATATAAGGAGGAATGTATAAGAAATTGTCAGGTCTATACCAGATATAATCAAAAATAGGTTTTGTTCTATAAAAATTCCAAGGCTTGTTATAACTTGTTATAACTGTGATTTAAATGAGCTTCAGAAAGGAAAAGTAGAACAGAAGAAGCTTTGTTTCATTTCAGAATGTGATTCTAATCAAATAAGCTTAGTTATTTCACTTAAGACTTGGAGATGTAGTTCAAGGAAGCCATCAAATTCATCACGCTTCATTTCTGAACAAACAGTGGTAACTTTCCTAAAAAATTTTGTTGTGTTTCACTCAAAGTTTTGACTCTTTCAGAAGAATTATTTGTAGTTTTAACATAATTGGGGTTGTGTTAATGACAAAACATTACCGACCACACATATAGCACAAAGTTTATTCTCTTTAATGTACATTTGTTGACAATATCAAATGTTATACTTTAATTATCAGTTTAAAAACCTCAACATACTTGATATCAAATTTTATGATTTGTTAATGTTTTTGTTCCCCGTTATTGATGTGGAAGTAAGAACCACCCAAAAACTGTTTTCTTGGTAGTCATAGTTTATTCAAATCAAGACGCTGTGCAGTATAGTGTTTTTGTCATTTGTTTTGGGGAAAGACACTGTTCAAGATAACGTTTGTTAATTCTTAACGTTCTGTTTA